CCCCCCCCCAACTCCTCCTCTTCTTGGAGTCCATTGATTGTTATGTGCTTGGTTCAGCTAAAGCAATACTGAACGGTCTTCCAGGCTTAATTACAACTTGGACTCACCACCTTCTGAGCTGAGAATCTGTCTCAAATCCTGGGCCTGGACCACTGGCATGCCTCTTATTATGTACTTTGTGCCCACAACCGGCTCCTGTGCATCTGGCATCAGTAGATATGGTAGGCTGCCAAGGACTTGAGCTCTAGCATTTCTACGAGTAGCACTTAAGACAGAATCAGGAGACAATCTTATGTGCCCTTCATCTGAAAATAAGAGCCACTGGCGAGGCAGGAACATATTTCTGAACAGAAAGGTTACTATGGGCAGCGTGCCAAGAATACCTTTGTTAAATCCCAGACATGCCAACTTAGTAGGTTTAGAAAATCCAATCCAGGGCATGCTGTAGAGCCTATCGACTGGGGGAATCCATATGTAGCCAGTGGAACAGGCTCCTGTGGCTTCGTGGACATCCATATTTGCTGTGCTACCAAGCCTGCTGGCAGAACACTGTCTCCTTACCATCCAGTTCTGTTGCTCCTTCTCCTCCTCCTCCTCCTCACTGGGTGTGTAACGCTTTATTTTACACAATCCACTCTGGCTCTGTAACCAGTCAATGCTCTCTGTCATCTGAGAGGAGAAGAAATTACAGCTAACGTGAAGGTGGCCATTTTACCTTAATTGTGTTGAGCCAAGCATCTTCTTTTTCCCACACTGGATAGTTTTTCAAACTGAAAAAAAAAAATTGAGGGGGGAAAAAAGGCTCTGCCACTTACCAGTTTTTTATGGCCACGAGCAGGGCTGCCTGTATGTTCTGCTTCTGCAGGACCGCAGAAGGTGATACAATATCAGCAGAAAATTTCAGCTTTTTGGCTAGCTTGCATAGCCCAGAGGATCTTTCCTATATGTCCCCTTTTCTGCTGCAATGAAATGTGAGGTAAATAAGCTGCCTTTGGGGTTTTCCTAAGTATAGCGCCTTGATAGGTTCAGGTACGCAACAGTGAAGCATCCTGGGAGTATTCTGACTCTTGCAACACCTTCCTTCCAGAAATTATCCAAGGAGGCCCTGAAAGATTCTGGTGATTCTAATGACTGAATGTGTTATGCAAACTGAGATAATGGGGTTAATTTGATAAAACAATCAAGCATTTTAATTATGAATTATTGTGTGAACCTGACATCTGAATTATTGTCTGAATCAGCATGAATAGTTCCACCAGCTAATAAATATTTAGATTGGCTATAACATCCAATATTCAAAAATTAAGCAGAATAGACCTGGTTTAGTCCTTATATGAAAGATGACTGGGAAATACCAGCCTGCAGACTACACTAGGAAAGTAAAAAAAAAATAAAAAAAAAATCCTGAAATAAGGAACCCTCTTCCACTGTTGCCAAGAAAACTACATTGAGGTGTTCATGAGGTCCCCAGTAGTCAAGCTCAATTTGAAGGACCATTTATCTTGGTAACGCTTCCCCTTTCCCGCCTCAAACCTAATTATGCAGGAATGACAGAATGACTCAGAATGAATGTGATTCACACTATCATATATCAGCAAGGAATCACATTCTGTGAGCATGTTTGTATTACGGAGTGGAAGGGTCCAGCCCCTTCTTCAGAGCAGGCATCCCAGACAGGTGGCTATCTAGTCCCCCTTGAGCACACCCAATGAAGGGGAGCCCACCATCCCTCTGGTTCACCGGTTCAATGGGTTCCACAGCCAAACTGCTTTTACTTTTAGGAAATTTTTCTAACACTCAGAATCTAGTTTTCATTACATTGCTGTTAGTTTTAGACTTTAACTGACTTGATTTTACTTTATGATTTATAAATTGTATTTTGCTTATTGTCTTGAGGGCTTAGCTAACATAAGGGGGAGGTAAACTTATGATGATGATGATGAAGATGGACCTTGCCCTCCTATAACTTCCAAGGCCTGAACTCTGAGATAATAGAGAAGAGCCTTATTTCTTCTGTGTGACCTCTTTACAAATATTTGAAGAGTGCTTTCGGATCTTCCCTCAGTGTTTTTGTGTCAGTGCTAAAATATTCCCATGCCTTCAACCATTATATGAATTAGCTACTTCTCCCTTGATCATCCTCAGAGCCTTTCTCTGGATATATTCTAGGTTTTTTTGGCTTTTTGTATGTATGTATTGTGATTTATCCAGTTTCTCTGAATCCTTCTGAAATAGGGTGCCTGGAAGTGGACACAATAATTGAGGTGGGATCTGACCAATGCAGATGACAATGGTTTTGGGGAGTCTGGTGCATATTTTTATTCAGGCTCTTTTAAAGAATTCTGGCATGTTTGGGGATTCTCCTAGCAATTCTGAGATTGACACAAGGATTCTTGAAGTGTCTATGAGTGGTGGAAAAAGGTGAAGACAAAAGTCTACTTGTCAATGAAGAGCATTGGTGGTGGCATAGAAGACGGAAAGCTCATTAATGAGTTGGAAAAAGAAGAAGGAAGGTCCGGTATATTTAAGAAGATAAAAGAAGGTGGCTGGGACTATCATAAATGTGCAGAGGAAGAGGAAAGAAGGTCATAGGAGGATGTATTTATTTATTTAATTTCTATAGCCGCCCATCTCAAGTGGGTGGCTATAGAAATTAAATTAAAGTGACTCTGGGCAGCGAACAATTTCAGTAATTAAAACCATTAAAACAAATTACAAATTATACATATAGGCAGCGGAGAATTATCATAAAAATTACATAAAAATCAATAGCGCAGCCAGGTAACAGGGCCCTTAACCCTTTCAGAACCCCAGGCTTGGGCACATAGCCAGGTTCTTAAAGCCTTATGAAAAGTTAGCAGGGTCAGAGCCATCCTGAGCTCCAAAGGAAGAATGTTTCAAAGGGCAGGGGCTGGTGAGGAGAAGCCATGCCTTTTGGTCCCCACCAGCCGACATTCCTTGGCTGACGGGATCCGCAGCATCCCTAATCTACTCGATCAAATTGGACAAGTAGAAACTATTGGGAGAAGACGCTCCCTTAGGTAACCTGGTCCCAAGCCCTGCAGGGCTTTAAAGGTGATAGCCAGCCCCTTGAATTGCACCCAGAAACACACCAGTAACCAATGCAGCTCCCATAGTAGTGGTGTTACCTGTGCTGCATAACCAGCACAATTTACCACCCGTGCAGCTGCATTTTTCACTAGTTGAAGCTTCTGAATGTTTTTCAAGGGCAGCCCCATGTACAGTGCATTGCAGTAATCCAGATGGGAGGTAGAAGATATAGAACTCATGACTGTTGACTGATTGTGGAGGGAAGGAGGGAGGGAGGAAGTTGAGCCATGAAGGGTTTTGACTGTGGACTTTAAACCTGTCTTTGAGTTGTATTTGCTGAATGGGTGTTTTAATTTATTGAATTGGCAGAAGTGCGGGGTGGACTGATTTGTAGGGTCGTGTATGAAGGTTAATGGTTTATTGTTTTGAACTGAAGTTGGGAAGTATTGACATGAATTGAGGTTTTATTAAAATAGTTGAAGGATTTCTTTGGCACACTGGCAAATATGTTTTTTATCTAGGATCTGGATGGGGCAAAATAAATTGAGGCAGATTAAATCCCTCAAACCTGAGTTGCAGTATGTCAGTAAATGTTCTAGAACACTGGTCCCAGTAGTCTTACTGAGTGAGGTGGAGCTTCCTCCACAGAAGTTGGTACATGACTCAGAAGTCCTTCTGGACTTACAGCTCCAGTTTAAACAGCAGCTGGAGGCAGTAAGTGGGAGGGTAGCTTTGCCCAGCTTCAGATGGTGAACGAATTGTGATCTTACCTCAGCCAGAATGCTCAGGTGATAGTAATTTTTTTTAAAATATTGGATTTAGGCTTGTTAAAGTTTTGAAGAATCTTGAAGAAGGGACAAAGAAGAAATGAAATCAAATTCTACAACATAATTTGAATGGATTAAAGATTAAGACTGCTAGAAGTAAAAGGAAGGAATATAAAGTTGGTTTATTTGATCAAGGCTAAAATAAGATACGTTGTTATTTCTGGTAAACCTTAATGGACTTTCTGCTGACACAGGACCAAAAAGATGATGCTTTATAGGTTTGTCTATAGATAAGAGATGGGATATGGGATGAAGAGATTATTGGTGGTAAACTAATTGGGGGTGAAGAGTTACTAAAATTGTTTATACTTGTTGCAATGAAGATTGGAAGTCACTTCTTAATATATTTCTTTTTTCTTTCTTTACTATAGTCCTACTTTTCTTTTTTTCTATTTTCTACTTTTTTCTTTTCCTTTACACCTTTCACTTTCTATTCTTCTTTCTTTCTTTTAGTTTGCATTAGATTTTACTATTGTAATTAAAATCCTTAATTACACCAGTTGGTCAGAGATAGAGCAGTCACCCGCAACTCAGGGTCTAGACAGACCAATCTGAGCACAGCCTGGACTGACTACAGGAAAGCCTACAACTCAATGCCACACACATGGATCTGTGAATGCTTGGCACTATACAAAGTCAACAGGACACTAAGGACTTTCTTCAAGAACTCAATGGGACTGTGGAAGACAACACTGGAAGTCAACTCAAGACAACTCACACAAATGGCCATCAAGTGCCGTACATACCAAGGTGATGTACTGTTCCTGCTGCTGTACTACATAGGCTTGAACCCTCTCAGCTAGATAATCACAAGGACTGGATATGGATAAAAGTTCAAGAGTAGAACTACCATCAGCCACCTCTTCTACATGGATGACAGCAAGCTGTACTCTAAGCGTGAACAAGACATCGACTCACTGATCCACCTGACATGGATCTACAGTGAGGA